AGACTCTGGTGCTTGTTTTTTTTTTTTTTTTTTCCTGCTTGAAAAAAAAAACATTTTCTTATTGCTAGCATTTTTTTTTTTTTTTGGCCCTATCGGTTGTAATTGAAACAATTTTCTCAATCAGATGACGCTGTTTCTACGTGCATTGAATGACATCGTTTGCAATATCCTAGCCACGTGTTTGACTTTTCAGTTGTAAAAATCACAAAAGTTTTTCTTTAGGACCCGTGGACGAAATAAATCCAACAAAAAGTGAAATGGCTGTATCATTTATGCCAGAAGATTCGTCAACAGATATTCACAGAGATGAAACCAGTTTAAGATCTTCGATTTGCTGATTGTGTATATATGAGGACATTTTGACAGTTTTATCTTTTACAGTTTTAGCAGACACTGGTAACTCTATTTTTTTTTTTTTTTTAAGAGAGAATTTATCCTTTGCTCTTAAAATTCCGGAATATCTCGTCGGATGCATGGGTTGTACAACTGTTTATGTATTCACCTTCTGTGTACTGTTTGCCTCGCTGTGCAATCTTTAGGCTGACAATAAAGATGGCAGTATTGCCCATCGCTGCAAGATTGCACCCAAGAATTAAATACACGACTTTATTTATTATTTTGTTTTTGACTCCTCTGAAGTTCCATAACAGCTTTCTTCCTCGCACCACCGGCGGGGTATTTACTGCCAAATGACGAATGTTAAGCTCTTCAAATTTGACTTTTTTGTTGTGTATCAATTTTTCTTCTCAAAAAAAGATAGGTTGGAAAGTCATTCGAGTTTTGAAAAAAACACACGAATTATTCGGTCCGTTCAACTTTAAATTCACAGTTTTCGTGTTACGTTTTCCTCTGCTTCTTCTGTGTAGCGATATCAACTAAAAATATGTCATTTTATAACAATAGAAACTGCAATACAAAATTATAACTATATATTCAATTGATGCCAAAAATATTACTTCGAAATCTGGTTGAAAGCTGGTTTGAAATATGCAAATTTGTAGCTTGATATGCCAAGTAGGTATTATCGTCCCTTGCATGAGACTTTTCGGCACGCCAGGCACTACTAACCAGTGTACGTCATCATCATCATCAGGTGCCTTGCCGACTGGCGTGGGCGATCATGCTCTCCATAATCCACGATCTCTTGCTGCATGTTTCAGTTCGTGTGCTGACACACCTCCATGCCATGCAACAAGACTGTCAAGAATCTTCTCTCGTTGTCTTTCTCTATCCCTCCTTTCACAGATCTTTCCAGTGGTCACAACATGTTCTATTTTTCTTCTTGTCATAACATGGTCCAAAGATGATGACGGCACCTTTCTGATGTCTGTGATTAGTTGTCTTTGGGCTCTCGAAGTTAGTGTTAGTGTACACACTAACAGATTTAAAAAAAACGTCTGTACACACACACACACACAAAGCCACATGTGTAAAACTGATGTGCACGCAAGGCTTACAGACATTGTGGACTCCGTGTACGCGTCGTTAAATTTATAAGTATAGTTTAACAGAAAATCTCGGGGATCGTAGCGGAAGCTACAGAAATCGAGCTTTGTGCTAGGTTTTTGAAAGACGGTAAGTCGTTCTGTAGAGAAGCTGAGGTATCGGATAAAACTTATTGCAGAAAAATCAATATTCACAACCTTAGCTTAACACACAAGCAGGCACACATATGAATATATATAATCTTCTTCTTCTGCCTTTCTATCCCCCAATGGAGCATAGGCCCTCAACCAACTCACGCCAAGTCGTTCTATACTTCGCCATTGCATGGAGCTCTCCCAATGTCCTCCCAATCTTTCTAACCTCATTCTCCAGCTCTCTTCTCCATGTATTTTTTGGTCTTCCTTTATTACGATGTCCCTGTGGGTTCCAATGCAAAGACATTCTAGTTATGCTGTCCTCCTGTTTTCTCAGTGTGTGCCCTATCCAACGCCAGCGTCTTTTCCTCACCTCTTGGTCCACTGGAGCCTGTTTAGTTCTCTCCCAGAGTTCTACATTAGTTATTCTATCATACCATTTTATTCCCTTTATTCTGCGTAGGCACCAGTTAATTAATGTCTGTAATTTATTAGTAATTGCCTTGGTTGTTCTCCATGTTTCCGCCCCATACAATAGTACTGATTTGACATTAGAATTAAAAATTTTTAGTTTTGTATTTCTTTTAATTTCTTTTGACCACCACAAATTCCCTAGTGCTATGAAAGCCCCTCTTGCCTTATTTTAATATCTCTATCAGTTCCTCCATCTTTATCTACATTACTGCCTAAATAGGTGTAAGACTCCACGTCTTGGAGTGCGGTGCCATTAAGAGAAACCACATTACTATTTGCCTGATTTATTCTCATTATCTTTGTCTTTCCTTTATGGATTTTCAGACCATGCTGCTGTGATCTCGCATCAAGTATATTTAATTTATCTTGCATCTGATTCCGTGAATGGGATAGAAGAGCAGTTACTCTTTTCATCGTCCAGTCTATAGCCAGTAAAAATAAGAGAGGCGACAAAAGACATCCCTGTCACACAACTGTTTGTATTTCAAATGCGTCTGTTAGCTTTCCCTCATGAAGAACTCGACATTTAATGTCTTTATATGTTTCTCTTACTAAGTTGATAATTTTCTGTGGGATTCCATAGTGCCCCATCAATTTCCAGAGAGATTCCCTATCAATGCTGTTAAATGCTTTTTTCATAGCCTCTAAATCCAATGTAAAGTGGTGAGTTCAGTTCAATGATTTGCTCTATTATAATACGCAATGCGGCTATCTGGTCAGTACAGGATCTGTTCGACCGAAAACCTGCCTGCTCATCCCTTAGCATTTTATCAATAGCATCTTTTAATCTTTCCAAAATAATTCTACTTAATATTTTTCCGGGAACTGACAGCAACATAATTCCTCTATAGTTTCTTACACTCCTGCAGATCGCCTTTTTTGGGCAGTTTCACAAGATATCCTTCTCTCCAGTCTGCTGGTATTTCTTCGGTCTCCCAGACTTTACTGAATAATCTATGTAGCAATTCTGTTGATGTGTTTATGTTGGCCCTGATGGCTTCAGCTGGGATACCATCTGGGCCTGTCGCCTTTCCTTCCTTGAGAAGATTGATAGCTTTTCTAATTTCCTCTTTGGATGGTATCTCACAGTTGATATCCAGTTTCATTTCTAAAGGCTGGATATCTGGGGGAACCTCGAGACCTGGTTTATTTAGAAGCCTTTCAAATTATTCAACCCATCTGTCCATTTGATCTTTAGTGTTGTAAGTACCTTTCCTTGACTGTTTTTGATTGATCCAGTTGGCTGACTGTATTTAGCCACCAATTTTCTTGTGTTACTGTAAAGTTCTCTGAGGTTTCCTTTTGCTGCTGCTGTCTCCGCTTCTTGTGCTAGATCATTTAGGTATTTCACTTTATCTGCCCTTCTATGCCTCCTAACTTCCTTGTTGGCTTCTGTGTATTTCTCCTGAGCTCTAGCTTTAGCAGCTCTAGTTTTGCTATTGTTTAAGTCTGCCTTTTTACTTTTCCTATCTTCAATCCGTGTAATGGTTTCTGGTGTAATCCATGCTTTATGTTTCCTTTCTTTCTTGCCAAGAACTTCTACGCAAGATTCATTCCAGATGTCCTTGATCTGATCCCCGCAGACTTATGTGCTGACATCTTCAGCTAACTGCTGCAACACCTGGTACTTATTAGAGACCGTAATTGAGAACTGTTCCTTAACTTCTTTATCTCTGAGAAAGCCTACATTATATTGGTTTCTATGATTATAAGATGTTATATATCTTTTTAGTTTCACTTGATTTTACTTACCACCAGGAAATAGTCAGTAAATACATCAGCACCCCTGAAAGCCCTAACATCGTAAAGGGATGATCTAAACTTTTTGTTATTACATAGGTGGTTAATTTGATTAGTTGTCTTATGGTCTGGTGATTCACATGTTGCCTTGTGTATTCTTTTATGGGGAAAAATACTTTCTGACAATAACATACTGGTTTCCTGCACAAAAAATTGTGAACAATTCTCATTTTCATTCATTACTCATAGACCATGTCTTCCCATAATTTCTTCATAACCTGTGTTGACTGATCCTATCTTAGCATTCAAGTCGCCCATCAAAATTTTTAAGTTGCCATTTCTTTCATTATTTATAATATTTTGAAGCTGCATGTAAAATTCTTCCTTAACAGATGCATCTTTATCATTTGTTGGTGCATAACACTGTATTACCGACATGTTCACATTCTGTTTCACTGTTCTGAAAGATGCTCTTATTATTCTGGGACTCACAGCTTCACATTCTATTAGTGCCCTGTCTGCTTCTTTTGATAGCATCAGGGCCACTGCTTTACTGTGGGGCGAATTTTCCTCTGTGTGTCCTGAGAACAAAATAGTTTCCCCTGAATTTAGAATACTTTTCCCTGCCCCAGTCCATCTAGTTTCACATAACCCTAAAATACTAATTCTATAATGTTTCATTTCCTTTGCTACTTCCATTGTTCTCCCTATATCATAGAGAGTTCTAACATTCCAGGTGCCAATTCTGGAGGTTTTCCTAGCTGAGAGGAGGTAAGTCAACGATCCGGACTCCTTACGGCTTTCTCCACACCGTGTCATACTTCTTCTATTTGAAGAGCCTCCCCTCATCTTGATTGGCTGGATTTTTATTTGCTTCTCTTTTTGACTTTTCCATGGTCGGTTGGTTTTTGTGGCTATGGTTTTTACAGGATGAGGTAGCCAACGTCAAGCCCAACCCTACCCCTAGTCGCCTCTTACGACATGCCTGATAGGGTGCAGTGTCACTATTCTTTGCTTACCGTGAGCGCCCCGGTGACACACGAGCGAATATATATATATATATATATATATATATATATATATATATATTATATATATATATATATATATATGTGTATATATATATATATACGCATATATACACGCACACACACATACATGTATATGTGTATGTGTGTGCGTGTATATATATATATAAATCCACAGGAACTTCACGGGGAAAAATCTAGCTACTAAAAGAAACGTAAAAACCCTGTTGTCAGTTGGAGGACCCGAAGGCGAAGCCCACAGGGCGTTGGTAAACCTGACAAAAACAGAGGAGCAGATATCCATCTTTTCATATAACGCCATCAGCTACTTGAGGTTCTATGGATTTCATGGTCTAGATATTGACTGGCAGTACCCTTCAACGCTGAGCATGAAGGCTGGTCTTATAAAGCTCCTAGAGGTAAGCATCCGTACCACTCTGCTGTTAATAAGGACGGCTCGCCATGATGGTTATGCATTGCCTACCCATAACTGACTGCAGACTACCTCGTCACTGGAGACTGTACTCATAAAGAGTATTTGTTAATGGCTGTAGGGTTTGAAAATATTGCCTTTCTTATTTTTTTTTTTTTCACTTCCTGTCTGTGGAGTTAATGCAACATACTCTGCCATAGTGTGTCTTATTTTGCATTTAGTTTTAAACAGCTCTTTTTATAATTGATTCTTGTGGCTACATTTCTAACGGTATTAGGATGAGGTACTTGAATATCAGGAAATTACATCATAAATAGCTGAACAATCATATTCCAAGATTGGCCACCGTTAAGGACCGACCAAAAATACTCTTTGTTCAGTACTGACACCATTATAGCTAAGATCAATTACTAAAACGCCGTAATTAGCAGTGATATTCTAAACGTGCGGTGACATTGTGCTTGAAACATGACGTAATTCACAAAATTAATTACAGTGCGCCAAAAATTGACTTCAAAAAGTTCGTCAGTGTTAAACATAACCCCTATTTAACTGTATTAAACATAACCCCTATTTAACTGTATTATAACGACTGAACGGTCTTTCTGAGATGAGCTTCTGATGGATTATAACTCGGTAGTGTATCTCTTGGTTACTAGGTTTTCATATTTAAAATGTAATCCTTGAGGAAGTAGACTAGACGTGTTGATCCGAAGTTCTTAGGTTTTAGTCAGCAATTTAGATGAACTCAGAGTCGGCATCAGCGTAAACTAATTTTGGGTGTAATTGCGGTAATTGAGCATTCTAACGTGGTAGTTTTCTGAAAAGTACTGACTGATGCATTCAAGGTTATAATCTGAGGATGGATACGTTCTCTTGCTGACCGCTGGTGATTTAGTTTCTTTCCGTTCATTGTTGTCGACTAGTATACATTCATCAAAGAATAAGCGTACAACAATAACGGCACTCTTCCGAATACCGGTCCCAAATTATTCACTGCGAAATGCATTCCTCTGAGAGTCTCAAGAGGTCATGTAGTAAAAAACATATAGGCCTTCATCATCAGTGTCCAGTTTTGTCGTTTTTGCTCGATGGATAGCAATGTGTAGACGTCAAGTTAAACATTGAGGAATAGTGTGCGATCCACTGTAGCTAGATCATTTAGGTATTTAACTTTATCTGCCCTTATATGCCTCCTAACTTCCTTGTTGGCTTCTGTGTATTTCTCCTGAGCTCTATCTTTAGCAGCTCTAGTTTTGCTATTGTTCAAGTCCACCTTTTTACTTTTCCTATCTTCAATCAGTTTAATGGTTTCTGGCGTGGGGAGGAATAGATTCTGATCCATAGTTTATGCGATGTGGGGGAGGAGTAGTTTACGATCCATTAAACAGGTGTTGGAAGGAATAGATTTTGATCCATTGTTCACGTTACCCGTTAGTCGCCTCGTGAGTTCAATGGCCACATGTTTGGGGGGTAAAGAAAGGCTAAGATCCACTGCCACCTACAAAACTTGTTGTGAAAGGCGACTTATCAGGACTTTGCTAAAATCGGATGTGTTGGGGTGAAAGGCGCAGATATTGCAGCCTGGCTGTCAACCACAACACAACGTGCCAACCACCCTTTTAAGGGCTAAAAAAAAATTACATCCTTGCAGGGAATCGAGAGCCGATCACCCGCGTGACAAGCGGAATGCTTACAAATTTACTATCGAAGACTTGAGAGTTTGGCTCAAATGAAACTAATAACGAGAAGCAGAGTTCGTAGTGTTCCTCTTCCACTATAAGACCTCATGAGATCATAAATGGGAATTTTTTAACAGTAAATAATTTGTGACCGGTATTCAGAAGAGTGTCAACAATAGCAGTGTCTCGAAGACAA